TAAAAAAAAACACCAATATTTTTTATCGAGTTTCCGTCATTATTTTGTTCCTCATCATCATTATATTTATTATGATATAACACTTATACCACAACAACATACCTAATGACCACAATTAAAATGTTCATCGAGGACCTAAATCATAAACTTTAATGGCATTTGTAATGGACAACTAACGAAAACCATAAACATATTAAAGTGACTTTATTAACAGCGCTACATAAACTAATATTGTAACCATTGTTAACTATCATTATTAACTATCATTAAGTAGCATAGCATATACGAATGACGAGTGTACTTTCATATAAAACATGACAAGCATTCCTTAACATCTTTTTTGTCACTTGCTTAAAGCTAAGTGACATGTAGGTACATATGCGAGATGATTTTTCAGAAGCTACGTATTACTCATACTATAACATTTTCCGTGGTTATTACCTCATATGTTACCCTGATATCAAAAGCAAGTACCTAACTATAATTTACAACTGTGTTATCACAACAGACTTACTAGAGTGAGAACTTAATATTGAGAGAACTGCCTTTCGTCTATGGAGTTCATCAAAAAGTAAGTAAATACGAGTATTTAGTCTCAAAAATCAGCAGTTTTTTAAAATCTGAAATTGACAGAAACATTAAACTTATTGCTTTTGTCAGCCAGGTCTTTGGAGGTGACTTGCTAAACCAATCGCTTTTTACTTATATATTTTTTTTGTAGACATTTATCAAGAAAATTCTGCTTCTTGTCTCAAAGTGAAAATTACACATACTTACCGTCATCTGATTTTATGACTTTCATAAGATTTTAATTCAGTATTTATCCGCTTATAGTCTTTCATGCAAACATTTATATCATACATCACCATCAGACCTGTGAAAATAATTCAGAGGTAGTACTACAGTTTTTTCATTTGAATGAACCTAAATTCTGTGGGAACCTAAAAAAATGTGGAGTCATTTTTTTTAATCACAACTCATCGTTGACCATTTTTGTTACATATTAATAAAGAAGTGGAAATTATTATAATTTATTTGACAATTTCACTAGATATTGAAATCTCCTAAGTTAGATATGAACGGTGCAAAATAATTCCCTAAAACTTTATTATTTGTGTAATGTAACTTGTGCAGGTATAGATACATGGGCGGATATTACTACCACACGTTTTACTAACGGCACCTTTAAGCTTATTGTTCTTATAAATTATACGTTAAGAGTCCTCTTCTTATGTCCCTTGCTGGTTATTCTTGTTAAATAAGATTCCATATTTAACATACAAGTGCCATAAAAAGTCTCCATTTTCATGCAAAGTCAACATTGCACAGATCCAATCAAAATCATTTTCCCACCGGTATAGAACAGAAATAACGTGTTTACCGTATCTCGACTCGTTTCCAAGCAATTTCCTGACTGTATGTTGGGCTTGTATAAAAATTCTGTCGCCATCAAATGGAAATGGCTTCCATCGTAAAATTTGCCCACTGATCTCATTTCAATGAATGTCGAATGCATTTCTCGTTCAAGACGCGGACCTATTGATCCATGTAGCAAGCAATGTAGTAAAGATAACATTGTTACAAAACGGCCATTTATACATAGAAAGGCACTTAGGTAAGAATGAATGTAAGTATTATAAAAGTCAATTTTTAACTCGTGTTGACTTGTCACTATATATTCAAAATGATGATAAAATAATATAGATTTTTATAAATGTCCAGTGCTTAAAAACAAAATATCTTGAAAATAAAAATCTTTTATCGTAAAGTTTCTGAAAGAGATTATTTGTAAGTGAAGTTTACATAAGCTAATAAAAATATAAAACTTTTTAGAACGGGAGCCGCAACATGAACTTTCAAAGTGATAAGTAAATTCCGAAGTGAAAAATAATTACACCACAGTTTTTGCGCTTGGATCGTGTTAAAAGTTCAAATCAAATAGCTACCGAAGAACTTTTTAAGTAAAAAATGGAAAGCTGGGATAATTCTCCGATTTGAATTGTTAATAACAACATATTTTTTTCGCTTTCAACGTCTCTCGACTGTAAAATATATGCAGACGTGAGATAACATGATTAAATTGTATTATCGTCAACAGTTTCAAAAGCGGAGTGATTATCCGTTGTACTCTCAGCTCAGGAACAAAGATACGACATTAATATTTCTTTTGTACAGTTTACTCGAATTATGAGGTTACTTAGTACCTATAGCTTTAAGCTTCATCCTTATATTAAAAAGTCACAATACTTAAAGTATTTACTAAAACATATTGTAAAACATGTGTTTCATTCAAATTCATTCCAGACTCAGGCGTTTACTATATAATCGCAAAGTTTCCTAATACTGGGTTCACACGAGGCGATTTGAATTGATCAAGTTTTATCGTTCAATTGCTTTTCTTTAATTTGATTGAAACTCTGTTCGGACGGCTCAAATCGCATGCGATTTAGCAATTGATCAACTAAAATCACTCGTGTGAACACGCGTCGTTTTTATGAAAAAAAAATGAAACGATATCCTACATCTATTGCAACACTTTCAACAGTGTTTTGTTAATTCAATAATGTGAATGGAAGATTTCTTCTTTTAAGGTTACATTCCTTGTAAAATACCTACTACCTATGTGTAATCTTCTTCCCAGTATATTAAAATTCCACGATCTTTATTCTAGTTCCCGCGTCTAACTTTCCTATACTGTATTGAAACAAGCTTTATTAATAACTGACTTACAGTAACTTCGTCACAGGTGTGCAAAATTAGCGACGGCCTTTGGAATATTGCCATTTTCAAGCGTCGATTTTACCTTTCTTGTGTAACAAGGTAGCTGAAACCTTTAAATCATAAAAGTGCTTGAAATATATGTTGGCATTACAATCTTACAGGAATTATTAATTTTAGTGGTACAAAGAAGTTTTATTACATGGTTTGCGTCGTGTGGTAATGACACAGCTCCAGCCTTCAGAGCTGGTAGCATAAAAATAATGAGGTTATCAGGATAAGAGGGTCGACTGCGTATGCCCAGAAGCGAGAAGTAGCTGAGCTTGTATTAACGTGCCCGCATCGCGGCGACTGGCTATAATTGATGGGTTTCCTAGCAAACTTAATTAATTTAAAGTGTCGGTTCTCATATCACCACGATATTGATTGGTGTCCTCCAGAGAAAAGCTGTCCCCTATAATTCATTATGCCTGCGGCATGTGTACGTAGATACTATTATGGAATGTGTTAGATGAGGTAGAATGTTATTGCTTGTATGTATTATTTGTGATGTTAAATTTAAGTGTCAGTAGGTAATGTTTGTTTCTGCAACAGTTACTAACCAATTACACCGTGAATTTTGAGTTACCTAAGAAACTTTACTAGCTAATTCAGACAACGATTTAGGTCATCTTACCACATTTTTTTTTATCATATTTTTCAAATAATGTCTCCACGTTAACATTTCCTTAATTGATTCAAATAAATCTACTTTTACGATCTACGTACTTAAAACGGATGATAATTCAATAATAAGTATATTATTTACAAATTTGCGCCGCTTTAGGATATTTTTTTAAACGGTAGGTAAATGAATGTTTAATTTTATATGGGGGTGTAGTATTTTTACTTCTTATAACTGTTCCCTCCATTTTTATTGACACGATTTTCAAGTTTCTCAGGTCAGGTAATTCAATATTCACGTAAATTCTTAACTTCAATAAATTACGTATACTCGTATGTACAAAAGAAGTCAACACAACCTTTACAAGATCTGGGTTAATGTGTTTACGATAATCTTTCCTACATTGTGTTCACGATAATCTTTCCGAGAATACGTCATAACAGGCAGCAAAAATACCTATGTTCCTAACGATGAACGACCCTTTGACATTTGACATTTTCATGTTTCCGTTCAATTCGTTAGTTGAGAATCAAGGATGGGGCTTGAGTTTTGGGATCTGTTTATGGCTGTAGCCGGCTTTTTCAGTCCAAGGTCTCCCATCGAAGATGTACTTGTTTTTCGGTTCTTCGATTAAATAAAAAAGCTTTATGATGACAATAAATTACTGCTCTCTTACATTTTATTTAATTCGGTATAGCAATACGTTGATACTAATACGTTCGTATAGGTATCAACGGTACTAAAATGTTGTTAGTGTAATATTAGCAAATTGTGGAAAGTAACCACAACAGCAGTTTATATTTTAACGCAAAAATTTACAAGATATTTATCTTTGTCAGCGTGGACTTTGACTGATTAATCTTATTCTCTTTTCCCTTAATTACAATTCATTTTAATTATGTTAAGTAGACATTTGGTAAACAACATAACAGGAAGACAGATTGAAGATTGGCATAATGCATATAAAGTCCCCATCAAATTATATTGCTAAAAGATTGGGAAATTAAATATATTCCCAAAGATGGAGCAAAAGTTAACATCCCTAAACTTTGGAAACTTCATTCTTAGTTTAACAATGTTATAAGAATTGCTAATTGGATGTTCGGAAGATCAGTTACCGGCTTCAGCTAACTAACGTATAACACTTGATAAATATACATAAATATGCTTTAGCTATATCTTTTAAGGGCTTGATGGGCAAATCATCTAGAAATATATAATACCTCGTAGTAAGGAGGTGGTCGTTGCTTAGTTATTAGCCTTTTTGTTATTTTTTATTTCCATATCAAAATTCATCTTTATTGGTCCAGCGGTTTGGGCGCGAAAGCACAATGGAAAAGAAAACTGTCGTTCAAAGTGTTACATAAAAAAATTTTTGGTTTTCGTAAATACAACAAACAACCAAGTGTTTATTTATTGCGAACTCATCGCTTGCGTATATAGTCTTCGAAATTACCCTATCCTTTATTCACTGAACTTACTGGTTATCCACGTAGCATATGGCATATATCAGACTTTTCTCTTGATATTAGAGAAAAATTTGATATTTTTATGGAAACTTTGTTTTGATAAAACTGATTGTGAATTTGAAATTAATTTATAATGTTTTTATTTTCAGAAAAATCAGGTAGTAATGGCAACGAAGTGGTTTGCCCTCGCGCTGGTCGCCGTCAGCTGGCGCTACGGCGACGCCTGCACCTGTGCTGCGCTAGAACACCCACAGACACACTATTGCAATAGTGATTTTGGTAAGTCCTGTGTTTGACGTGCTAACGTCTTATAAATCGATAAACACCGACTGCACGCACGAAAAAGTGTGACGTCATGTCACTTTGTCACGAGTTAGTGCAACGTTCCGCGGTGTGTGAGGTGAGGTCGAGGGGTTCCTTCGATTTCCCCCTTACCCTACGTGACCCCCTCACCTTACCCCCACGTGACACCCCTCACCCTACCCCCCACCGCTGACCCCATCCTCCCCTCGTAGAGTATCTCACCCCCGCGGAGCCTAACTCGGGCCCCCATAGATCTACAGAGCTGTGCTTGGGATAAAAAGAATCGGAACAAAAGGTACAAAAAAACTTCCCCTAGAGAAACAGCGAACGACACGTTATCACGTAAAATTATCGCCCGTAAACCGACTTTACAGACAACTATTTCTTTTAACATATTGTATTAAATACGAGTAAGTAATAATATTACCAACACTCACACCAATTAGCCTAGCTTACCACCATTTTAGTCATGATTTAGATATCTACATATAGGAATAAATATAAAGAGGGCAGAGGCTCGACTTTGTACGCACATCTCTTCACCTCTCAGAAGATTGTATAATAGACAAATATATATAAATATAGTTGGGTAATTTTCCTTTTACGAGTAAGATTACAAATGATCCTCGGGTTTAAGTTACTTTAGAATCAAGGATATTCTTTCTTTCTGTTTAATAAGAGACAAGAAAAGACGTTGTTTTAATATTAGCTAGATAGATATTAAAAAATGCTATTAAAAGTACTGCGTAATGTGCTTACCGTTTGCTGTTCTATGGATTAAATCTTTGTAAAATATTGATTAAACCAACACACCTACGTAGGTAATTGTTTAACTTAGCGATTGACAGGAAAATAATAGGCAATTATCCTAATTCTGTAAGTGAAGATAATGTTTCCCTTCAAAACGCATAAATCTTTCGAATTTTAAGAACAAACTGCCCGTGACATGTTTACATAACTAGACCTATACAAAAACAAAGAACATTTTAATCTTAGAGAACATAATTTAGCTTACGTAGAAAAAATAATTCTTATAAAGGTAAAATAGCCTAATCTAAAAACAAAAACAAATAAAGTAGAATTATTACAACGACAGTAAAAAAATAAAAGGTTATTTATAAATTCAAAGAATATTTTTATCATTTCGTAATAACGCGTAATAATTTATTGTGGAAAAATACACAATTATCTTCTTGCATCAAAAATGAAATTAAACCTTACTAAAAGAAAAAAAACATTGAGTTTTCTCCACAATAATCAGAAAGGCAGCTTATGAAACTTGTTTTAATCACATCTGTCTGATAGACTCTGCGAGAAAAAGTTTAAATAAATTATGTGAATTTTAATTACAGTTTTTTTTGTTATCAGTTATCGTTGGACGAGTACAGAAGACGTTCAGAGGATCTACTTTCCACGATTCGTACAAAGTAAAAATACGAAACGTTTTCAAAGTAAGTTTTTAACATCTTATCTCTTTAACTAGTTATTTTATAAAATAGTTCGCAATCAGGTAAGAGAAGGCCCAACAAATTTTTCGCTTGAATTTTAGCACCCGCCTGCAGCTAAATAACATTTTTAATAGCGATACTGATCCGTGCTGGAATGGAGTTAGGGTAGCCTTTTTTTTGAGTGTATGCTGTTGGTCGCAGATGACCTTTACAGCGTCGCCGTGTTTGGGGTCGGCGAGATCCTAAGGGGACCTCAAGCCGAGAATTGGCGAGTGCCTCTAGAGGTATTCCAGGCGGATGGCATCTCCCCACGGGGGAAATCTCCTCTCCGTCTGGAGCCTCTAGACCACTCGAACCTGAGGGGGGAGGGTAGACAATGCGCGAGCAGTAATTTTATAACGCGCGGCGAAAGAGTTCTTTTAGCTATAATAGCCACCAAGTCATATGCTTGCCAATCCTTATTTACATAAAAAATATTGGTTTGCAGTGTATTTTATTTCTATTTCGTTGATTATAGGCATCGCCAAAAGCAGAGGTCGCTCTAAAGTCAGGGCGCCTATTGACGCCCTCTGAAGGATCTTTATGCGGAGTCTCTTTGCAACCTAGGGAGACTTACGTCATCACGGGTGAATATACCTCTTTTTAGCCTACTAATATTATAAATGTGAAAGTTTGTATGTTTGCGTGTTTGTATAGGCACCAAAAATTATGTGTAGCTGAATACAAAACAGTATCGTTGCGAAAAAGCACAAAATTAAATAAATCATTCTGTGTTGCATTGTACAAACCATATACCTATGCAATTCGTAAGATTTGGTAACGTAATTCAAAGTAGTTGTAATATTTTGTACAATACAATATACGGAAGAATTAGCGCTAAAACCTACATGAGCGAAAATTATTGTTATAATTCCCTATTCACACAAGACTAAGAGGATCGAAACTCTTTGGACCCGAAAACTTAAACCATACTTAGTATAATCCATAGATACACGCTAGTTTGGTAAGGAAACACAAAATGTATCAACTGTTAAATTTTTTGTTCAAATAGCAAATGTCTATCATTGGGCGGATTATACTTCTTACTTTTATATTACCCTCTGGGTTTATTTTCATGGTAACCCCATTTTGTACACCTTCTGATGACATCATTTACAAAAACTTCTACAATGACTTTTAAGTTGGAACTTAGAAGTACCAAAGTGCTGTAAAAATACTATTGTATGTACCTACATATTTAAATAATCTTATTATATTTCTGCTAAAAATGAAGTATTTTTTACCAAAATCGCCTGCTCCTTAATTAATTCAGAGGAATATTTTGTTTTCGATACAAACTTTTAGCCTCTGATTGGTGTAGAGAAGTGTTTTTTTTTTGTGTACAATATTTAACGCATGCCCTAGTGTTTAATAAATGTCTTCATAATTTACACGATCTTAGTAGCGCTTAAAAGCATCATAGCAAACATTACCATTATCTAAGCTGCAGTCCACATAGTTCTATAAAAAAAAACATTACTTTTTCAGGTCGGGTTATCCAACTCCAAGCGCATATACACTTGTGCGGGTATATAAAGAAATGGCGTGAAGTCACGCCGCGCCAAAGGAAAGGGTTCCGACTTCTATATAAACAGGGTTGCACTTGTAAGGTAAGATTACTATTAACATGTTAGAAATTTATATTCCTGGCTGACCCGAAAAGTTACTTTACTTTATACTTTGTATGGATATAGATAGATAGACATAAATTCCATGAGCATTTAGTTAGAGTGAGGAGTTCTATATTGTAGACTAGTAGGCATAGTCGGACTGCGATTTGTCTAAAATTTGTGTGAAACTCTAGACATAGGAAGGGTGACGTAAAATCGTGATCTAAGTCGCGTACTTTTGATTTCTATCCTGAAACCCCATTGCTAATAGAATGTGTAAAGTTTGGCATCCAGATAGACTAAACTCTACAGGCGCGTCGATTAAAATAAATTTAAAATACGATTTCGAATTCAATTTTGGTCAGGTATAATCTGAATTTTATTTTCTAGATCTTTCAGTTCATTGCCTAATTTTTCATAAGAAAGCGGGTATCTGAAATGCTGCTTGCCTGAAATTTTCATTTTGATAGAACTAAAGATGATATCTTTGTATATTTTGAAGTATCCCATTATTTATTACTAGCCTCAGGACGCACGGATGAATATATTTTTTTAAACTGGTCACAGAGCCTGTATATGATCAGAAATGTTACGAATGATAAGAAAACGCTTTATGTCAGACCAAAAAGTGTTTCATTATTAGGTTGATGTCCTGGTCTTGACATATTTTGCTGGAGTTCTTTAGAGTAAGAAAATATCCCCGGCCAGCGAGGTCATGGTGGTTGTTCCGGCACGAGCTTAACAGCGTAATAAGATTCTATTAACGTCTACTCGTTGAATGAACTCGAGTCATTAGAGAGGCCATCCATAAAAAAAACTGTTTCCACGATTGTGTACATGGGTAATATAGTTGGCAATAACAAGACGGTAATATTTATTACAGGTGCACGTGACACGCCGCAAGACGAAATCACCCAACACGTGCGTGACCAACTTCGACGACTGCTACGACCGACACGGCATCTGCCTGCACGACCGCATGAGGCGCTGCCGCTGGACAAGGTAACCACCAAAAATACTCCTTGGTTATTTTGTTGCACTGGTACTTCCGATAAAGACATTTATCTTGAAAACTATTTATTGTTAAAATATATTGAACAGTGCTCCAATAGCACAGTATTATTTTTATTATAATAATTGATTAATTATGAAGGAACCACGAACCCGCATCATGATGATTATTGAAATGGGGATGACACACATTTGGGTGCCAATGAAGATCCACAGATGATAATGAAAAACTTATGATAGCAGAAAGCTTCCAACTTGTCTTTCAGTTTTTTTTCGTGTAAATCTGTTGTACGCAGCGGGACAACGTCACGCTCTGCTTGGCATGACGTAACCATGATAAAACCACGAACAAATTGTGTTAAGTGGATGTGGGAATACCACAGCCTGCATTGTATCGATAGTGTGAGAAATTCGTATAATAGAGTATCGTGTCCAAGTAATCATCCTGAGAAAACAGTTGATGTTTTAGAATTTTTAATCAATACGTTCTTTCTTGTGTATATCTAAAGTTGATCATAGTAAGCGCACAGAACAGATTGGTACTTCTAAAAGATATTCAATCGTCCCAAAAAAATCATAGATTTAATATATAAAATTACAGTGCAGACATTTTTGGAATATCAAAGAACGCACTATCAAATCAGACAGGAAAGGACCACAATCCCACTATTCAGAGAAAACGAATGGTTTTTATGAACATGACATTTCATGCTGAATGCGAGACAAGGGTAGCTAGCGAATTTGTCTTGTTGTATTTGTAGTTCTGCCGCGCTAACGAAAAGTACAATAACTCGATATCAGAAAATTGCCTTCATATTTTCACTTTAAGTTTATTTTGAAGTTGCTGTTTATTTGTTCTTCTTCCAATTGGTACAAGTTACAAGGACAGTTGGCACATGTATAAGATACGTATACGTACGTGTACGTAAAGCTCAAAATTTTAAGCGCGTTTTTCTCGGAAGCGATAAATGGGAGTTGTACTCTTCGTTAGCGCGGCAGCATTATGAATACACTTTAAAAACACAGCTATAATCACTTTTTAACCATATAACTACTACAAACATCTTGATCAAATGCAAATGTTTAGTCTTTAAGCTTTTAACTAAACTAATCATTGGTATTGTTGCAGGGCTCCCACACTCACGAGGTGTCTGCAAGCACAGCATTCCAACGGCACCATGACTTGATAATATTCACAAACGGAGTCAATGTAAACTTTACTGTACCTATAATTTGTATATCACGATACGTCCTCACGAAAAATTACAAATTCATCGAAACACTAACTAAAAGCCAATATTGAGCCAAATATTCATAATGTTAATTCTCACTTTTCCATTAATCATGGGGATTTAGATAGTAGTTACTTAGATTTAAAATAACTATGTGATATTTACGTTCAATTGTTGGAGAATGTTTTCGATTTACCAATAAGTAACGAATTTTTAATTGCACAGTAATTTTTCCTCTTGGGCGCTTTTGTTGTTTTTGTCTAGTTAGACAGACGAATTAATTTTAAAGTTATTTTTATATTATTTATTTTTAAGTTAAATAATGTAAATTAACAAATCATAGTGATATTATGATACTAGATTTAAAAATAAAATCGTTATAATTAAGAATGATATTTTTATATTCGGCAACCGGCAACCAACGTTCTTTCTCAAATGAAACTCCTACAGTAAAAGTTTGAGCAAAATTACAAAAACGAACATCGCCCGTTTATAAAATAAAAAGTATTGGTAAGCGTAGAGCCGTAGCAGATCTCCAAGATAATAAATTACAATAAATAAGTACTTACCATGTCGGTGTGATTATGGTAATAAGTTTGTTCGATGAGAGGGAAGTTTTCTCTGCCAAGACGTCGCTGAAGTTGAAGGAGGTGGCCAAACACCCAAGGTCGATCCTAAATAAGACAAACAATTCAATTATATTATGAACAACAAAAAAAAAATACAGTCAAAATATAATTGAAATACATTCTTGTTATAATTTCTCGAGTATAAACATAGCGTTTAGCAAAGTTTGAACAAAGTAATGAAATAAATGTTAAGTTACTCGGAAATATTCCGACTGATTTAAATTTAATAAATAGCTATCGATTCTGTAATTTTCATATTTTAAATTTTAACTTCTATTTAACTGCTTTTTAGCGATTTTCAAATACATATACCTAATAAGTTTATGAAATACGAAAGAGTAGTTCGAAATTTACGCCCGGCCCGCGACCATTATCAATTCCCGGTTTTGTTTTGATTTGTAGAAATACCACAACGAACACTCGTAAACAATAAATTAATGGCACAATATCTACACTTTTTTCTTATACTATACTGCACCAAACACATAATAAATATATTTATGTATATATAAGTATAGAAATTTCAAAAAAATAAACCTGGAAATGGTAGATGGAGTTAAGGCTGTTGATGGAGGGCACTCCACCGAACTTGAGGCCGAGTAAGAGAGCGCGATGGTCTGCGCCGGCGTCCCGCACGTTCTGTCTCATCAACACGAAGTCAGGCCTAGTCAAACAAAATTATCATTTACTTTAAGATTTCTCGTTTATACGATCCGGCTCGAAGGACCATGTACTATGGTCCCCCAAGCCAAGAATGTAGTAGTTATAAATAAATAATAATAAACTGCGTACTGCTACTTCGACTGCGTTAACTGTAGTTTTTCGAGAATTCCACAGGAATCTAACAATTTTCCGGGATAAAAAGTATCCTTTGTCTCAATCCAGGTCATAAAGTTTTGCGTACCGAATTTCATACAAATCAGTTCAGTATTTTTTGCGTGATCCAATAACAAACTTACAAACTTTTACATTAATATTAATATTAGTAGGACAAGCTTCCGCCCACTACATTGTCTGCGTTTAAGTTATTTAGTAAAAAGTATCTTACGTCTTTGTCTCATTTTCTAAAAGAAAATTAGCAGGACTTAAGAGAGGCGAACAAAGTTTTTTCCATACAAACGTTCTCGACTGATTCCTCCTTGATTTTAATAACCAAAGAAATGATTTTTACACATAACATACATATAATTTTACTCATTCTATGCTCCCATGTTTTCCTTTTTACGATAACTTGTGTGTCAAAGAAATAAGAAGCTCTCAAAAACGCCAATAACAAACAAATTTTTATCACTACTAAAGACGTCTAGTGTGGAGATTCAATAAGTTTAAATAAAGAAATCAAAACATAGAGGCCTAGTATCAGTACTAATTATTCTAAGAGTAAAATTTCTTTTACATATATCTAATTATCGAGGAGGAAAACGTCGAGAGCCAAATCTCGGATTTTGATTTTTTTCCGCAATTTCCAGCGTTTGCTACTGTTGTCCCTATCGCACGGTGTTTGCCAATGCGCGATAGCAATAGGTTTTTCAAATATCTATTTCTCAAATTTCTCTAAGCTTGCATCCGCTCTTAAAAGGAGGAAATATTTACTCACACTGAACATCAGGTGGGTGGAGAAGCAGTTAAGCCTTAATAAAGCTTTCTAAAATACAAACTCACTTGAAACAACGAGTGACTTTGGTACCACCTCGGTAGACAGCCATGGAGACGTTGGCGCCATCAGAATTGGCTGTCACGGTTAACTCCTAAAACAAAACAGTGAGTAAGTATTAAGTAAAAAAAAAACAATTCATAAAAATATACAATAAATATATATATATATATATATTAAAAATGACATTTTGATAAATATATAAATTTTAAAGTGACAAGGAACAGTCATGTTTAAATAATATGTTATTATTAGGAGAGTTCTCAGTCGGTCACACCGTATTCTTTGTGTGAACCATTCTGAGGGTCGATGTGTATCAAAATCACTAAAAAGGTAATGTTGAAATCTTAGAACTTTAGGTAATCTTGGGCTGCTTAGTGATAAAGGTCACAATCGTTGGTCCAAGCTTTTATCTCAAGAAAACCAAACAGCACCAAAACATTAACATTAGATTGTTATTTGTACAAAAAAAGGTACAACTGTAATTTGAAATCGAACACTGTGGCATACACTTTTTATAATTCACTAGCGACCCGCCCCGCCCCGGCTTTGTACGGATAAAATTTATTTTAACTCGGTAAAATATAGCCAATGTAACTCAGGAACGTAGTAGCTTTCTACAGGTGCAAATTCAAAATCCGTTCAGTAGATAAACAATCTTTGCCTATTTATAAAAGAGAAGAAGAAGAAAAAAGAGATAATACTAGATTACATATTAAGTGTATCGAGCGTTGACCACGAGTTTGAGAAGAAAAATAATAATAAATACTAAATTAGCAAGGTTTTAATTGTGCTAGACTCTTTTGGCTAAAATGTCAAATGCCAATGCGTAAGTTTAATTACATTGGCTTTTGTTGATTTACAACAAGATTTTGCTTTATAACTGACTTAAAAAAAGGAAGGTGGTTCCACGTTCGTCCTATGAATGTTTTGTAAATGGTTTCCTAGTTCGTTTTATTAAGATCTATTATAAACTTATAGAGAGATTGCGGCCGCGTTGTTTGATACATAGTTAAATTTGACTGTTAAGTCTCGATGACACGGGGCGAGCTTACAAGCTTACAAACAAGCCAGAGAGTTTACTGGCAGCCTGTAAACTCGCCCCGTGTCATCGAGGCTTTTGTCAATTGGAAATATTTATTTACTCCTCAATAAAACTATAGTCAATGTCGACCTATTAGATCGATTGTAACATATGTAACAGCCCCAGCTAATGAAAACTTCGTTTGTGGACTAGATATTTCTAAGCGGGTAAGTAATTAAAGGTAGCTTTCATTTGTTAATTAATAATAATCATATAACTATATACTTTCCACATCTGTAACTATAAGTCGCAAAAAAGTTATCATAGCAAAGTATTAGCCTCATAGATAAAGCTGTACTATTTAAAGACCCTCTCCTCGAAATTGCATGTTTATGTACTTACTTAGTGGCGTGGCATGAGCCTCGACAAATAAAATTAATTAAGGGGCCTACCACTAATACCTGGAGTTGTGTGCGTCACATGAACATAAATATTTGAATATGATGTTACTTCGGAGTTTGTAAACATTCTACATAATATATAAAGACATTGCACACGCACGTACAGATTATATGGTTGGTAGTTGGTAACACACTGAGATTTTATATTTATGGGTAGATGTAGCTTTTTATTTGAGACACTTTCAAAAACCGGTATTTATTTTTATGAACTATCGAAAAAGTTGACGATCTTTTTTAGGCAATAGTCCTTTAAGCCTTTAATGGTACGTAATTACGTAGTTAGAATGAACTTCTCCTGGAGTATTAAGACCGACACCATTATAAAAAAGATTTAAAACTAATAAATCTTCGTCCCCTATACCTTTACAGCCCAAGTACCTACTCAATATTACTTAAAAATGATTGTTTTTTTTTATTATTATAAAAAGACCATGTTGAGCATATTTCAAAACTATTCAGTAGATTTTCATAAATTTTACATGAGGTTACGTACACACAAAACATCAATTTTATCTTTCGTTGCAAAATTACTTCAGCATTAAAAAGCATTTATATGCTTTCGATTAAAAAGTGTTCCACAGAACGGTCCCCCGTCTGCAATGACTTTCTAGAACTCGTTTTTGAATTTTCAGTTCGTTTTATGGCAGAACAGTCGTGATTTCATTTTAATATCTAAGTACTTAGTCTCACTTTTGATGAATGCTGGTTTTGTGCATCAATAGCATAGGAATCGACCAAGGCATGACCATGATCACTCTGTCCTTCATTCCTTTTCCTTGAAGTTACTCTATCTCACTCTAAAATTCTACTGGGAGTTTACTACAGCCCTTCTCTTAGAGTCAATTTCTTTTCTTCTTTCGAGAAACTACTAGAAGATTTGACCCCGTCCTACAGCCATTCTATTATAATGGGTGACTTTAATACATGTCTTTTAAAAGGTGATCTACGATCCAATACCTTAAAGTCACTCGTTAATGCTTGTAACATGAATATTCTCCCCCTTAATGCCACTCATTATTTTCCTAATTGTTCTCCTTCTCTTCTTGACCTGATTATTGTTTCTTCTACCATGTTGCCAAATATGGTCAATTTACGGCCGATGCATTCTCTTACCACGACCTTATATATCTTTCCTATAAAATACGTCCCCCTAAGGCTAAGCCCAAAATTCTTCTGCAGCGTAATTTTGGTGGTATGGATCTGGACAAGCTGCGTGATGATGCTGGAGCGGTTGATTGGTCAGCGGTAAACAATGGTGCTACTGTTGATGAACAAATAAATTTATTTAACAACCTTTTGATCAAACTCTACGATGTTCATGCACCTATTAGGCCTATTAAGATCAAACATTTGCCCGCACCCTGGCTGACTGATGACATTAAATCTTTAATGG